TCGTTAAATTCCTGGTCGACCTTGCCGTCTTTCTGGAGCCCTAGACAGGCCCTAGGGGCACCAAGTTGGGGATTGTAGGCAAGTGTAGGATAGAACTGTTCATCGGGGTGTCTATGATATGCGTACATGAACAGCAGATCACGGACTTCGATTGCCTTCTTGTCATAAAGCATGAATTCAACAAACTCCCTCAAGAGCGCAGTGTGGACGGCGCCTTTAAGCCATGTAACCTGAAAAGAAGGCCAAAGGTCGATTATATATCTATATATTGTCTTCGTATAGTATGAGCTAAGCGTTAAGCAAACCCAAATTTACATTTAAATGGATTTTGTATCTTCCATCGAGTGCACGTGTTCTATGCACTGCCCGTCCCTTTACAAGGGACGTAAAAAACAAAGCACTGGTCATACATCTGTTTCATGCTTATAGCCTACTGATGATTAGTCCCTGGCATGAAACACTTCATTAAGAAATTGAACTTTGCAGTTTAGCATAAATGTGGTCAGGTTATTTTGATCGAATGAGAGAACTTATCAGGATAAGCACCTTAAGTGTGGAACACTGTTGATTTACTTCAGTATAATTAAGGGAACATTTTGACAAAATCGGAGGTAACGCGATTTCGAAGAAGCTTCTCTCCTATTAACTGCTCAAGAAGCAAATATTTTAATTATAATCGTCATTCTATGGTATTGCCCTGATATAAGCAACAAAAGTCTAAAATATATCCCTATTAGAACGGAGATATCCAGTTTTGAGATGCTGAAAATGAGGTTCGGCTATAGTTAAGGAATCATGTTATTCTTCAAAAAACAATAAACGATTTCTAATTAAAAATAACTTGTTGCCAAGTTTTGAATGCTTTGTAAAAAAAAGCGCAGTCAAAAAATTTTGATCGCATGCTCATTTACCTCATCAAATATATTGGACAGTAAGCAAAATGCATATAAGTAATCGCGACGATAAAGATAAAACAAAACTTTTTAAATCTGAAGAAAATAACAGTAAACTTTTTTATACAGCATAATTTCTGCGCATGCGTAAATTATAAACGGAGTACACATAAAATCAACAGTTTTTGCAAAATGCTTGTAGGCATTTGGCCACGGAGTCTACGATGAAAAATCACGCCAATATTTGAAGTTTAGTGCGTTAGTTCAATTCTAGTCAAACTGTTTTATCTAGATTCGATCAATTAAAAAAGGTCAGAATCGCCTTTTCTTCATTGAACTTGCATTTGAAAGAGTTGACTGTGCGGTGAATATCAAGTATCAGTGCTCTTAAAATCGGTAAACTATTGTAGAATTATCTTTAATTAATCTGAAGGACAACTAAATCACACATGCGTTGTGGACGTTCTTTTTGCTCGTAAATGTATTTTGTGTTTCGGGGCATTTATAAAAATGGCTAACTTCAACTGTAGTGATATCAAAAAAATGTTTTCGAAAGATGCATTAAGTGAGTATCTTATATTAAAAATTTTGCTATGGATGTAAAGCGAAACCTGCAGTTATGGCAAAAAGCTTGGAAGCAATGAAAACATCCGAAAACATGCCGGAATTTAAATGATGGTCTTAAACTATTTGAAAGCCAATAATGGAAGTATACATAACAAGTTAACAAATTAAAAGTTCACTTGATATAAAGAAAGTCGCATAGTTATCCATTAAACTGACGATAGGATTTAATTTATTGGTCTTGCTTATAGCTATTTTTACGTCTGCGTAATTTGAGTATAATAAAGTCAATTTTATTTTTTTATGCTTGTTCGTTATTACTTATAAGTTTTCTTACACGCGTTCTTGTCAGTTTGCGTGTGATTATCAATATTCCGCAAACTGAATAGTGATTGAGCAAACGCCATGTGTAATGTTCATATACGATTGAAACCGTCGCCAGATGCATCGCTGAACACGTCTGGAGGGCTTATCTGTTTTCATTCTGCCTTCAGAACGGCATCAAATAAAACTAGTACTCCGTTTGAAATATTTTCTTCCACAGAACTTGAAAAAATCTGCACGCAGCTGAAAGCAGAATGATCTTGGAATTAGTTTTAGACGGTCAGAAATGCAAGGACTCCCTCTTCTCTCTACACCAAAATTGCATCTACAAAGTTTTATTATAAAACGATATGGACACAAACTATTTTATCAATTTTTGCAATGCTCACCTGGAATGATGCTCTGCGTCTGGGTATCCTAAATTTGAAGCGTTCTTTAAATGTCGCCTCCACAATGTTAGATCCATTCAACATCCGAAGAGCTTGCACTAATTCCAGGTTGGTCTTGAGGGGCATCTCCTGCCCAGTCAGGTTTATCAAATACCTCCACTTTCCCGCTTGCAGGAGCATTCGCACCGAAACAAGCTCCTGCTCCAGCACCGTGTAATCACCCCAGACCACTTTGATGCTCTCATTTCGAGGCACCACGGCAACATTTGCATCAAAGCACTTTGCAATTTCTTGCACCGCCTCATAGAACTCCAGGGGTGATTTCTGGTCCACGTGAATTACGTAGAAGTTGTGTGGCCGATGTATGAGACGCAGCAGGCGCGCCACCTGATTTATACTCTGGAACACACTGATGGCAAAAGCAAGGGGAAATGCTAGCTCCTCGGTTGTTAGAGGGACTTTGGTTGGGAAGAGATCTCGTTTGAAGGCCTGGCAGAGCTGGCCAGAGTGATTATTTAGGGAGAGGAAGTAATCCGTAGTGCGCAGCGGTGTCAAACGCTTAAACTCATGGTGGTCATTGACGGAGACGTTGTTGGAGAAGAGGAAAGCACACCGGCTGGCCTTATCCTCCTCTTCGTCCTCCTCCGCCACAGAAACGGCATTAACAGGTTTTTCCTCGATAATAACCTGAAAACGAAAATTCCAAACGACGAAAACTATAAGCAGAAAACTGAAGATGCAAAATGTGATTTTTGAGAACGTGAACATGACGTATGGCGCATGTGCCATTCCTTCATTTGAAGCTTTATAGGTTGTCCGCACACACGGTGTCGCTAGACGCCGGGCAGTTGTGATTGGTTGGCTTCTGACTGGATTAGATTGCGTCGCGCCAATGTGTCTGCTCATGAATTAGCCTGTCGCTGTGGCCCGCAAAGCAAGGGTGCATTTTCCAACTTACTCCTATTGCAATTGAGAAGACTCTTGTTTCAAATTACGAAGTTCAAACAGGCAGTGTAATACAAATTAAGGGGATTAGTTTAAGTCTTATACTGAAGCAACACTCCATGTCTACCGAAAGGCTTCTAAAAGTTTCGTTAAATGCGCTCAATATTGATAATTGCATTGGAAAATTTTAATACGAAATTACAGTGCTTCTCGGGACTAAATTGTACCTTGGTTTTAAAATAAAATGGGCAAACCCAGAAAAGTAAAGAGATGAGGCGACTCTATAGCTAAACTTCTTAGCACCTGGTATGTATAACGCAAGCACTAGGCAAGGCGTCATAGTCCCGCATCATTATTTGTGCATTCGCATTAAATACGATCTGAGTCATCTTATCTTTGATGCGTTAATATAAAGAATAGGCACATTACAAATAGAAATGTGCAGTTCTGCGAATCCTGCAAACAACTTTCAGGATGAAATTAAACTTGGTAGTTTAGCGTATATCTGGACAGGTTAGTTGATCAACTGAGTGGATTTTATAATACGAAGGGCTTTGGTTTGGAAAAATGCCCTCTGATTTAAAGTTATTGGGGGAAATAGGCTCCCATTTTGGCTAAACCATGAGTATTTTATATAAAAGGAATTCCGTAGGCCATAAGAAAAGACAGGACGAAACTTTCTTCTAATATACATTGTGCTGTGAAAG